GAGCCAGACATTTTAAGTTAGTGGGGTGGCAGCACTGTTCAGATGTCCACCCAGCTTTCCTTTTTCGAATGACTGTTCATCTGCACTCTATTATCACCCTCAATACCCTATAATTCTTTTATTTTCTTTAAATAACTAATTTGAAAGTCAATGACCTGCCAACCCTTCTCTATCACAAATTATCTAACTTTCAAACCTCAGTACCATCTCAGATTCCCTCCTTACTTTTTCATTTTTTTAGAGACAGGGTCTCATTATGTTGCCCAGGCTAAACTCAAACTTCTGGGCTCAAATAATCTCCTGTTTCAGCCTCCTGAGTAGCTGGGACAACAGGTGCACACCACTATGCCAAGTTCCCATCCTTACTTTCTACCAGTTACTAAATTCTACTGCCTTTTTCACCACTTCTCTTCAACTCACATTTCTTCTAGGTCTACAGCTGAGGTTTTTATTTCACATCTGGATTACTCAGTAAGAATGCCTGTTAACAAACACAGTTGATACCTGGCCTCAGTTCACCTCCATGTTCACTTGTAGCTGGTATGGATAGTTTCTACTCATATTGACAGCTTTCCACCTGAATCACTTCTCTCCTAAGTTCTCCAGCACGTCAGGAGCTTGCCCATCCCTAACCATGGAACGCTTAAGTGCTGGCAGCATTTTTAGCAGCAATCTCAATCAATGAAGACTGGTTATAGGTAGAAAAAGGCCTCAGCCCCCTTTCACTTACTTGGTAGGACAATTCTGAGGCAGTTATACAAGAACATGGACAAGGTTAAGCCCCCAGTTGCCTTTCCATTATTGACTTTCTTCCCCTCTAACTACCCAACCCCTCACTTGTACTTCCTAGCATCTCACCTGCACGCATGTCCTTATCTCAAGGTCTGAGTTCAAGAAGCACTACAGAGAAACCACAAGGGCCATAAAGGTAATGCTGTCAAGACCTAGCTTAACGTAAAGCCACCCAAGTACTCTTCCCATCTCAATCTTCTCTCAATTACAGAGAAGAATTCATGTGGATCACAAACCTCTTCTGATCAAACACCTTCAGTGAAGTCTTTCATAATTTGTCTTCATCTGCTATAACTAACATATGAACTATGAATTGTTATCAGCCAAATTGTTCTACTGACCCTTTCTCAAATATAACTTGTACCTTTCCAGGAACTCATTAATCTATTCATATTAGAAATGTCCTCCAATATTCACCTTTCAAAGCTCACTCATCTCAAATATTATCTCCACCAAGCCCCCATCACAAGTAATGCCTCCCTCACCTAAATTCCTAAAGAACTTTTATAATACTAAGGCACTTAACTGTAATTGTGTAAAACACTGCCTCACTTCACTACAAGTTTCTTAAGGGCAGAAACCATGTTTCATTCTTTTTAATTTCCAAATAGCCTTGCCCTGGTAGACTCAAAACATTGACCTACTTTAGCCTTCTGAAATAACATTCGAAAGCAACATTTATCTGGATGCACCATTGTTTCTTAAATACCAGTTTAGGTATACAATATTATACATAATTCACGTGCCTTTTTTGTAAACAGTTAAAACCAACTGTATTCATCTCAGATTCTTTGGAGGTTTCCTACTTATGGAAATGCTCCTGCAATCACATGTAGACTTTCAACAAGTTTAAAAATTACACTAAATAGAGCTGTTACTCGTTTTTTCCTCTTTAGAAATGACTGCATTTCACATTTCTCACCAAAAATCTCTCAGCATTTTATGTACTTCATTTTCTTGTGAAGAATCTATACTCAGTCATATGTAATAGTTCACAGTGCCCAATCTTAATCTATCTGAATTCCAATTTATGTCAAAGGCTGCTTTAGCAACATTATTTCAGCTTTAAGGAAATTCTGATCCTTACACAATCTTGAAATGCTTCTGTCATGGGGAAAGACTTTATTTCTTGGCATTCCCTAAGAGGATTAGTATGAGGATCAAATAAGGTTGTGTATGTGAAAGGTCATTGAAAATTCTAATAGCAATATATAAATGTAAGAATTATCATCTCCTTAACTCTGAATTTCAAATATTTAAAATCATCCATTTACTACAGTCTAATGCCATTAAACTAATTATGTAAAAAGATTTGCTTATTGATAGGTTACAAAGAGCTCAAAAAAGGAAGGAAAAAGTGAAAGCTGGCAATAAACCAGGTCATAAATAGGAAACAATCTTAAGTAGAATTTCCCTCTTGCACATATCAGTTCAATATTTTATTCCAGGAATATTTTTTATACTGTCCTTTTTTTCAATCCTGACAAAGTAAATGAAATAATATATAGCTCCTAGCATAGTGTAACTATTACTATTACTTTTTCTTAAAATTAGCATTGTCTTTCAATAAGATTACTAATTTCCCTCTTATTTATATTAATAGTATGAATTCACTAACAATATTTGTATTATGCTCACGTCAAATAGCCTAGTATAATAATCTGATTTGGTCCGATCTTTCCAGATGATACTACTGTTTTGTCTCAACCAGAAATGGAACTAGGACGGCCTCATTACTTTTTGTAATAGGTTTTTCTTACAGGAAAAATATGATTAAACTAAAAAATTCTGTAATTCCATTTATTTATTAAGCAAGAAGTCTAGAGATCCTTGACGCAAAATGCATCTTCAATTCAGTCTATGTTCCTGCCAGTATTTCACCCCCTGGCTCAATTTTCCAGGCCTAATAGAGATTATATGAGAATTTAAATCCTCAATATGCTTGAGTGCACAACACCTAGAAAAATCTCATCATCCATGGAAAAGCTCAACTTTCGCCTTGTAAATATTCAGATGAAGAGCATTTTGTATGTGAGAAATATTTCAGAGTAAAGGTCTGTGAAACCGCACACTATGGAAATCTGATCCAAACAAAAGCTGCAGATGGACAGACGGTAAGGGGTAATCTCGTAGTGAGGATCAAACATCGGTCGGAGAAAAATTCCAAGGACGATGACATCTCGGTTTTTCCGTTCACAACAATTAAATAACGGGGCTGCAAGACCAGGTCTCGTCACCCCAACTGCGCCGCAAAGCAAAACCAGAACCCAGTGCCCTGGCGGGGCTTTCAGTCGTTCGCACCCGCCGAGAGACTGGCAAGCTGTAGTGGGGAAACCGAGGAAGGGAGCGGAGCCCCTCTCCAGGGCTCACTTCATCCCTCCCGCTTCCTGCTTCCCAGGGGGGAGCCTCCGAGGGACCTTTCCCCAAATCAATGACCAGTTCGCGTCCTCCGCCGACCCCTGACAGAGCGGCCACCAGATTATCTCTGCAACGCAGAGCACTGGGGAGCCGAGGCCTTATTCCCGTCCGCGCGCCTACCGCCACCCAGGAGCATGAAAAAGAGGCCGCTGCAGCAGCTGCACCCCCGGCGCGCGGAAGCGAGAACCGAGACCATTCCCAGGTGGCAGGCGAGGCGCCCTTTGGCCCCACGCCCCTCCCAGCAGCGCGGCACTCACCTCCACGGCCTTCCCCGCGGGCCCCGCCAGCGCGGCCAGCGGTGGCTTGCAGCCGCACCTCCGCAGGCTCCTCTTTTCCACCCTCGGCCTCGTAAAGGAGAGGCGTCGCGTCGGGAGGGCCGGAAAACGGCGCCGCAGCGCAGCCCGTGGGGTCCCCACCTCTCGAACCAGCCACTTCCCGCAGTAGCCGCGGCTCCTTCCGGTGTCTCCACCGCCGCCGCAGGCGTCTCGGGCGTCGCTGGAGGGCGGGAAGGGGCGGAGTCCCGAAGAAAGCCCGCCCAGGGATGGGGCCCGGCCCAGGTGCCTGGACCCTGGCGGGCACTGGGGGCTCGGACTTCTAATGCAGGTGACTGTTCAGGGTCCGCGTACCTGCGGCAGTTTGAAGTTTAGGGCTTCTTTCGTTTTTACATGTGTTCTCCCCCTCTTCTGCGGTCACACTATGACCATTATAAGGTCTTGTTTCGATGCATTACAGAATCCCATGAAGGCTGGCCACCGAAGGGCCTCAGGTTTTCGACTTTGTGCAAAGTAATATAAGACTTATCTCAATTCAACACTGTATTCCTTTCTCTCATCTTTCTTTTCCCTACTCCTCGGGATCCAGATTCTCCGGATGCAATTATGTTTCGCTTTTCCACATATGCACAGAAGAAATTTATCTCTACCATTTTCCCCTTAAGCCAAAATCAAGAAGATCAAATAAAATATTTATAGAAACTTTAGTATTTGGTTAGTGCCTGGAGCATTGGAAGAGACTTGCCTTCTAATTACGTAACTGTTAATTCATTCGATTGATGTTCGAATCGTGAATAAAAACTTTTAAATTAAAAAAATTGTTAAAATTGCCAGTTTCAATCTGTCTCATTACCTCTAATTCTTTGGTCTCCAAAATAGGAGCATGTACCCAAGTATTGTACAAGATGCTCAATCTCCATCAAGAACAAGTAGAAAATATAGGAGCTTCTACTTATTTTTATGGTAAAAATGAAAGAAATTAACCATGACACAGCATTCTATGTAGACATTGACACCGAGGCCTCAGTTTGCACCGCAAACAATCACTTATCCTGGGTTTACTGATGAGAATGGAAGTTTCACAATTTGGAGGGTACTCATGATGCTACCACTCCTCCTTTTATTTTCAGCCTATTTCAAAATATGACAGTTTACAAGCTACAGGATGTTGGCAAGGTAGTTAATTTTTATTTTGAAAAAAATCGAATGTCTAAATGCTTTAAATATTTACGGTCCTCTGTAAAGAGATAAGAGAATGCTCATGAACTCATTTGTTCCCTGATATCTTGTGGCAAAGAACTTTCTGACATAAATGATAATTTTATACATTTGTTTGAAAAATGACAGGTGGATCAGTCTCCCATTTCACAGATGAGCCAACGGGGGCTCCCGCCACTGGCTAATGGCTGGGAGCACCCAGTGAAGAGTAGGTGGGTGGTCCAGGTGACCTTCAGTCCAGAGGAAAATGCAAGAGGGGTCTGGGTTTGTCCTTGGGCTACCTGCTGGGGAGCCCGCGGCATGGGGGACGGGGGCAGAGACAGAGAGGAGATCTTTTCAGTTAATCTTTTGATCATGGGTCCACTCCACGGAGAAGTGCCTCCTTCCACTTCCCAGGTCTATCTGAGCAGCTGCGCATGTAAATAGAATGGCTATTTTTGTTAAACACAGCTTAACTATTTCTGAAATAGCCATTTATTTGTGAACACTATTTTATGTTAATTTAATTATAAGAAAATTGAAAAGTGTAATACATAGCTAAGCCCTTAAGGCCGGTTAATCTATTTGGATTGTAACAAATATAATTTTTATTAGCTCGGCCTATTTGGATGGTAATGAGTGTAACCTTTCCATAGACATTACAGACTCTGAGTTATGCTCTATTTGTACGTAAAACCAGCCTTGAGTAGAATAAAAAGAAAGTTCTTTTAAAAAAAAAGAAAAAAGACAGGTGTTCTAGATTTTTGACCTTTCCTGTAATGACGAGTGGCTATCAGCAATATGCTAAACCTAACACAAAAAATTTGTAACGTATACATTGAACCTATCACTTCAAAGTAAAAGTGATATTTTGAAAAATAAGTGAGAAAATAACTGCATTTGAAAGACTGGGACAATGGAGAGAGAATTTTAAAATGGGGTTAGGAAATGTTTCCACCATTAAATAATTTTGCTTCAAAAATTATGCACACCTACAAAAACTCATTTCTGTATCAAAAGACATCATTAAGAAATGAAAAGTCAAGCCAGCAAACAGAAGATATTTGAACTATATATAACTGATAAAGATTCATGTATATATATGTTTCCACAAATCAATAAGAAAAACAGGCAACCAAATAGAAAAACAGGCAAAAGTCACTTCTCCAGAATTCCTGCATTGAAATTGTATCAGGGGTATTCTGTTCTTACAGCATTCTAGCAAATTCAATTCAACCCTGAAGACCCCCTTTCTCTTGCTTGGTAACCAATGTCCTCTTTGAATTTACCTGTCCTGGAAGGGTTCTAGGGCACTGTCAGTTCAAGGAGAGCAACTGACAAGGCTGTTCAAAGTAGATGTGACTCGTACCTAGATGATAGCAGGCAAGTACCTCTCATGTGGACACCAGGTAAAGTCCTTTCTGTGAACTAGTCCTCATGAAACAAATGCACTGTGACACAATGCAATACCTCTTCCACTTTTAACTTCCATGGATTCCTGCCTCTCCACTCTTGGGTGTTTATTTTTATCCTTGTATGCCTCAATCCAGAATGCTTACTCTTTCACTTTTCTTCAAATAGTATCTCTTGATGGATTATAAGGAAGGACACTATCACTGGGCAATCAATTAACTTCCTTTTCTGAGAGAAGAGATTATACATTCCATATGGTGGACTCTCAGCTAAGTCACACTGATTCTGGAGTACAATTCTAGAGATGCCATTCATGGAGAATATAACATGAATTGTGTGCCCTAGAGTTGTGCATCAGGCACAACTGAAGTCTCTTCTAATGCAAGGAGGGTAAAAGAAGAAATGATGGCACGGAAAAAAAGAAAGAGAAAAAAGAAGAAGGAGTAGAAAAAGGGAGGAAAGAAGACAATTGAATGATCATATCAAAACAAATGCCTTCTTGTTTTTGCAACTGAGTAATGGCAAGT